TGCTGTGATTTGCAAACCTTGAAAAATAAAAAATTGCAAAGAAGATCTACTTAAAAACAAAACACGGATGTTAGTATAGTTAATTATTTTTTTTTTTTTTTTTTTTTAAATAAACCAGGGGTTTCTCTATGTATTCATATGCAACATATTTATCTGCATAGCCCACTAGGATATATATTGTGTGCATCAATTTTAGGGCTGCTGTGTGGAAGAAAAAAAAAGCAAAACAATTACCCTGTTTCAAGATTACACAGCTCAAATAACTTGTCAATTTGCGCTTGTACCTTTACTTTATCTTTAGCATATTTTAGGTTAGTCACAAATAATCATTGGCATTTTGGCACTAATCAATGGCACCAATTCATAATATGGTGTTGACCTTTGAAAATATAATTTCAAATGCCTAGAAGGATGATCTGAGCAAAGTCCAAAAAATTAAAATACTCCACATATAATGTGGTTGCATACAGAGCAGTGACTAAGTCCTAACGTAATTATAGAATCCATTAGTATGATTCACACTTAATCTTGTTTTGTGTGTGTGTAATGCAGTATTTGTCTCCTTTAATAATAGTTCAAAGCAACACCACTATTCTCCTAAATACATCTTTCAGTTAACTGTTTCCAGAATAGATAATACTGGATTTCCCCTTTCCAATGTCTTAACGTATTGTACAAATTCTGAATAAAAGTGGTTTTATCTTATTTCCATTGTCCAATATCCGTTCCCTCCATATTTGGACAACCTTTATTGATTGAGCAAGACATTCAGTCAATGGATGCTATCCAGACATAGACAAAATTGATGTTGTTAATGTGAAAATGAACTATTGAACTAGCAGTCTGTAAAGCATGGGGCTTTTCCAAAAAAATCCTCCTTTTGTGTCAAACCAATTGAAAAGGGTTTGATACAAAACCCAGGGGCATGCAGGCAAGTAACTTAGATTTTTTTTTTTAATTTCATTATGTATGTTGATTGTGCAGTTGTAAAATAAGGTGATTCCACAGAAGTGTGTAAAAGACTGTGGTGATGCACATTGCTTGCTTTCCAGTGACTTCAAGAGGAATGGCTCAAATTTCTAGATCCCACACAGACTCTTCATGTTTGCAGTGATGCACACCTTCCAACATTTCAAAAGCCAAAGAGGAACACTTTAATTTTAGGGAGGGGAAAAGGGGGTAGAGGGGCTGGGCAGGGGCGTGTGAAATGTTCGGTGACTAACCACTTAAGGACACAGTTTCAGAAGTAAAAGGCCAGCATGATGGAAAATGTCATGTGTCCTTAAGGGGTTATCAACTTATGCAACTAAAATGTAATTTAAAAGGTATGGAGGAAGAATAAAAGTGTTAAGAATTCAGTTCCTCTCATAATCAATAGCAAATAAGTGTATCAGTATACAGAGGGTGCAAAAAAAAAAAAAAGATTTAAATAATGTAAATTTGCTTGTTTAAAAAGACTATAACAAATTTATTCAAATAATTAGAAAGGAGATAAACACAAGCAAATATAACAGGGACTTCTAAACCGTGCTCAATGGCAAAATGCATGAATCAAAAACATACATTCCATTTACTAAAATATATATCCACTATAAGATATCTAGAAATACATAGGCAATGGTATTCAATTTGGATATTATACCAAAACGCCAAACAAATGTATAAGAAGCAACGGGTTCCAGTTAGTGGACGGAAAATATAAATCCCAACATGACCAGTTTGTAACCAGTCCTCTCCGGGAGTTCAATCCTGCAATCAGCATTGTAGCAATAACTACAATGTAGTATAATGGTGGGGCTTAGCTTGACCCATCACTTTAATAGATTACACATACAATTTTTATATATTTGATGACTAGTGATAGAGTTGGCACAAGAATGTACCAGATAAAGCTTGATGTAAATGTTTGGGGGGAGTTCTTTTTTTTTTTTTTTTTTAAGGCTTCCAAGTTGACACTGATCTCAGTGGTTAAACAAGATAGCTGGTAAGCATCTCAACCAAGCCAGTGGTCCAGATTTTCTCACTACATGTAACTGTTGGTATCATATTATAGAGGTTCTCAACCGCCATTGTAATATTCCCTGGTTAATCCTTAGCCCTTCAGGACAGTCATCTGCATTTTTGCGTTGCCGACCGGTGACGGTCCTGAACCGTCCTAGCGGTCCAATGTACTTACCCGATCGCCATCGTTCCCCGGGCGGCGATCGGTGTTGCTCCCGTTGTGGGGAGACTGCCTGCAGCTGAAAGTCTCCCCATGGCGGATTAGGACCCCTGGGGTCCATGTGTCTGCCTGCAGGGGGACTGCCTGTGCTGACAGGCAGTCTCCTTGCTAGTGTAAAATCATTAAAAAAATTAAAGTTAATAAAAAAAAATATATATATATATATATATATATATATATATATATATATATATATATATATATATATATATATATATATATAGTCATACTAAGTGTATTTTTATATTAATATGTACATATATTAATATAAAAATACACTTATAATTAAATGACACACGTGTGTATATATATATATATATATATATATATATATAATATAACTATATATTGTATGTAAATAAGTAATTTAAATAAAAACAAGTAAAAATAAATAAAATTTTAAAAATATATATGAAATTTTACTCTAACTGTATTTTGATAGTAATATATTTATATCAAAATACACTTAGAATGAAATTGTATATATAAATAAAAATACAAAATATACATACATATGTCCATATACAAAAATTACATAAATAATTATATAAATATACACGTAGACTTCAAATATATAAATATGCATATATATTTAAATTCTACGTGCGTATTTATGTAATATTTTTACATAATTAAGTAATTTTATTGATTGCAATTTGAGGGATCTGCCTGCCAACCCAGGTCGAAAGTTCAGAGAATTTAATTTGCTAGCACTATATTTTACCCTGTAACTTTCTATGACATCCTAAAACCTGTACATGGGGGGTACTGTTTTACTCGGGAGACTTCGCTGAACACAAATATTAGTGATTCAAAACAGTAAAACATATCACAGCGATGATATTGTCAGTGAAAGTGACTTTTTTTTGAATTATTCACACACAAACCGCACTTTTACTGATGATATAATTGTTGTGATACGTTTTCCTGTTTTGAAACTCTAATAATTGTGTTCAGCAAAGTCTCCCGATTATAACAGTACCCCCTATATACAGGTTTTATAGCATTTTTGAAAGTTACAGGGTCAAATATATGGGTCAAATATTTTTACATTGAAAAAGGCCAGGTTGGTTACGTTGCCTTTGTGAGCGTATGGTAGCCCAGGAATGAGAATTACCCCCATGATGGCATACCATTTGCAAAACAAGACAACCCAAAGTATTGCAAATGGGGTATGTCCAGTCTTTTTTAGTAGCCACTTAGTAACAAACACTGGCCAAAATCAGAGATCTCCCTCCCCGGTCCGCAGGCACGGTGCTTGCAGCCGGCAGGGGAGGAGAGAGGACCCGGGAGCTCTTACCTGCAGCTCCTCCAGGTCCTACTCTCGCGAGCACGGAGCGTTGCCGCGGCAACACTCCAAATCTCGCGAGAGTGAACTGTAGCCCTGGAGCAAAGGGTTAGAGTTCACCTCACCACCACTGGGACCACCAGGGAATCCCCACCGGACCACCAGGGATGGAGAAATGTCCCCCCTCCTTCTCAATAAAGTTAAGAAGGGAGGGGACATAATTATATTAATTTTATTAAATAAAAATTAAAAAATATATATTAAAAAGCCTCCCTGCCCTCCTTCCCCCCCATACACACACTGCACACCCATAGACACATTTCCCCCCATACACACAATGCTCCCCATATACAATGCCCCATACACACGTTGCCCCACACATACAGTGCCCCCCCATACACACACTGCCCCACACACACACATACAGTGCCCACACATACACACACCGCCCCACACATACACTGCTGCCCTCACACACACACTTCACCGCTCACACACACACTGCACCTTTAATACACACTTCACCCTAACACATACCACTGCTCCTATGCCCTATATCCCAGCAGACCCCAGGTAAGTTGTCAAACTGTTCTTAAATGGTTTGACTACTTACTCTGGGATGGGATCTTGGCACTACTGGCACCATAACTACTACACTGAGCTGTAGTGGTTATTGTGTCTGGATTATTTCTTTAAATCTACAAGTGCTCCTCCCGAGATCAGGCTCTGGATCCGCCACTGCGTGGTACTGCCTATATTGTGGATCTTTAAGGACTTTTTCCTGCCACCAGCCCAAAAAGAGATTTGCATATGTTGGGGCACAAGTAGTAACCATGGCAGTCCCAGTATTTTGCAAGTAATATTTGCCGTTAAATGTTAGGTAATTGTGGGTCAAAATGAATTCAAAAAGAGAAAGGATAAACGTGATTTGTGGTTCTTCATATGCTGAAGACTCAAGAAAACAGCGGCAAGCCTCTATGCCTACCTTGTGTGGGATGTTTGAATACAAAGTTACCACATCAAGGCTCGCAAGTAAGGTGTAAGGGGGCACCTGAAGTCCTTCCAAAATTAGCAGTGTGGATTTAGTGTCTTGTATGTAAGATTGCAAATCAATTACGTATGGGTATAAGATTTTATCAATGAATTTACTAGCTCTTTCCGTTAAACAGTTATTGCCAGAGACGATTGGTCTCCCAGGAGGTGCCCTCATATTTTTATGCACCTTAGGCAAACCGTGTAGAGTAGCTATTGTCGGGTGTTTGTGTGGTAATATATACTTAAATTCATTAGTTAATTACCTTTTGTTCCCTTGTTTTAGTTGGTAAATCTTCGAAGTCTCTTATGTATAAATTAGAGGGGAGGACACTGTAACTAGACTGATCGTTCAGATGTACTATACACATCTCTATGTATGTGTCACGGTTTAGTAAAACAATGTTCCCACCCTTGTTCGCCTGTTTTATTATGACATTATCCAAAATTTTTAGTTCGTTTAAAGCTTTGCGTTCATTATAGCTAAGATTGTTACGGAGTGGAGTTTCAATGTGGCTTTTCTCCAACTCACTGGTAGTCATTTCAACAAAAAGGTCTACATGTGGAGTGTCCTTCAAGTTAGGAGTAAACCAGCTTTGGGGCTTCAAATCAGTTAGAGGTTTGGAGGGATTTTGTTCCTCTAAGAAGTCTGTTAGTATTTTAGAAAATTCTAAATACTCTTTAGATAGACCCAATTTGTTTGCCCTTTGAATATCTCTTTTTAGAATGCATTAAATTGAGGGCCAATTTTCTACCAAAGAGATTTATATCTTTTGACCAGTTGAATTTATGCCCAGTGGTTGGTACAAATGAGAGACCTTTGTTCAGAAAGGAAATATGGCGTGGTAGGAGAGGAAAGTCAGAGAGATTAATGATTTTATTTAATTCTGAAATCTCTGACCACATCCCTGTCTCTTGTAGGCCCAGAGGTCCCTGACCATCAGTCTCCCCCTTCTGTTTGCGAGGTTGATCCTGTCCTAAAAAAAGTTTTGGAGGTAATAGAATTATTTGTGTCAAATGGGATTGGAGTGTCTAGAAACGAAACTGATGCGAGTCTTGATGTGGTATCTTTGTATTCTAACATCCCACACAAGGTAGGCATAGAGGCTTGCCGCTATTTTCAAGAGTCTTCAGCATATGAAGAACCACAAATCACGTTTATCCTTTCTCTTTTTGAATTCATTTTGACCCACAATTACCTAACCTTTAACGTCAAATATTACTTGCAAAAGACTGGGAGTGCCATGGGTACAAATCTCTTTTTGCAAATCTTTTTGGGCTGTGAGAGGAAAAAGTCCTTAAAGATCCACAATATAGCCTGTCCCATGGATATATTTTGAAGTGGTACAAGTGATTTTCTCCTACTATGTACAGGCTCGGTACAAACTTTTGAAGAATTTGTAATAATCTTGAACAATAATAAATTAAATCTAACACTTACGTCATTGACGAAAAAGAACTAGTCTTTCTAGATCTAAAGATTCTACTAATGGAGGATGGCACTATTCAGACTGAATTACTCAGAACATTGACTTCAACCAATAGCCTCCTCCATTAGGAGAGTCATCACCCACACAAGCTGAAGGCGTCAGTCCCATATGGTCAATACCTGAGAGCAAGGAGGAAGTGCTCTCAGGACTCTACTTACTACAAGAAATGCCAAGTCCTAAAAAAAAACACTTTAGGGCTTTGGGGTATCCAAACGGGGTCCGTAAGAGAGCTTATCAACGTGCCAGTGAGACAAACAGACTAGCAAGTTTGAAATCCATGTCACATCAAACTTCTCAACTCCCAGATGTGTAGCCACTTTTGACAGTGGCTGGAGCACGATGACATACTTTTTTCCAAGCACTGGCCCATACTATTGCATAATTCCACACTCAAACAGTCATTACCCATTTATCCATCAATTACAGCCCGCAGGTCCAAGAATCTTAAAGACCTTTTAGTACACAGCTACCCGGCTCTTATTCCCTCGAAATCCTATTGGCTTACCAACATCAAGGGAACATACAGATGTGGCCATTGCAAGGCTTGCGATTTAATTACTCCCTCGCAGTCCACCACATCAACGCAGTCAAAAATTACCATAAAAACTAATGCATTGGTGAATTGTAGCACTACACGATTAATATATTTAATCACGTGTGACTGCGGCATTCAATACATTGGGAAAACCTTCCAACAATTTTGCCGTCGGATTCTCTAACATGTGAATTCTATTAAAATACCATAACACCGACATCTGTAGCTAGATATATTGTACATTTTCACAATGGCAATGTGGACAATTTGAGATTCCAAGCTATTGAAAAACTGGTACCAAATCCTAGGAAAGGCAACTTCAACCAACAGTTGCTCCAAAAAGAATCCCAATGGCTTTATTTGTTCAGAACCTTGACTCCTCAGGGACTTAATGAGGAGTTTAACTATACTCCTTTCATACATTAATATGCAAATCCCTTCCAAACATCATAAAACTTATCTAACTAATTTTCATTTTTGGCACGTATAACTAATAAAGACGTGTGTGTGTGTGTGTGTATATATATATATATATATATATATGTGTATATATGTATGTATATGTATATATTGTATATACACCATTAACCATTATTTACTCAGTGTTTCATTTACATAATAAAAATTATTATTTCTAGTTATTTAAATTTCAGAAATTACTATTATGAGTTCTATATCATATCACTTTAAAATTATTTATAATGTTTCCTTGTTCAAACATTTAGATTAAAATGCTGATTAGTGACTGTTATTCATCTTTAAGCCTTTTCAATTACATTTCATTTCTTTTCATCTTTAATGACAATTATGAATTCTGTCAATATTCTTATTTGAACTATATATTATAATATTAGCCAATGAACACTGCATATTTAATAATTTATTTATGCAACAAAAGTATCTCAGGTTACCTGAAGTAACATCAAAATAATTTAACACTTTAAACATTTAGTGAACTGACCACCAATTTTTAATATCTATTAACGTTTGAAAATATGCACAGGTTTTGTGGTCTACTCTGACCACCATCTTACATCAGCAAACACTGGTGAGGTCATTTTTTTCCATTGACCAATCAGGATCAAGGGCGCAATATTTAAATCCAAACCAACAGGGATTCAGTTCCCCTTTGAAAAGCCGCCTTATCGGCGAAATGCGCGTCGGGGTTGGAGACTGCAATTTGATACCCCAGCATTTAACCTCCCGTCCTCCATTTAGATTTGACTGATATTTTGGGACTTGATTATATTTATATCTGGGGTGGTTCTTGGTTGGGGGTTTTTACTGCCTTGCAGATTTTGGCAAGCGCAGATATAGCACATTCAGATCATCCTTCCATACAGTATTTATACGCAACTATGCAGGGGGGGCTCTGAGTCTGTCCATAAGCTAGCTCAGCAGTTGATTCGAAAAGACAGGTGCCCTCGAAGGCACAGTGATATCGTTAGGTACCTCTGGCCGATTGATTATACATATATCTTTCAGTTTAGTTCTGTTTAGAACTGTTTTCATGTTACATGTCTGACAATTAGACAAGCAAGCTAAAAATAAGACTGCTAAATAGTACTCTAAGTGCACATTTCTTTTTACTGTACTAAACCAATATCAGTCTACAGATTTAGCTAGTATAATAGCCTTTTACCCATGTGACAGGTGCCCGTTAAGGCACAGTTACAGTTGCAGGAGGAATTTAATTCCCTACTATTGTATATACATTTAAACTGACCGCCTGTACTTTGACTCTATTTAGTAGCCGACAATACTGGGATATAGAAGCAGTTCCACATCAAGTTATATCTTCTTGTATTACTATTACGTTTAAACGCTCAGCAGCATTAACAGACTTTGTAGCATTGCCGATAACTTAGGCACATTTGACATTTTTCGTTTATCTAGCTCTATCTATTTTTTGATAGCCATCTATACATACATTCTGTTGAATTAGTATTGGACTAACAAATCTGGGTTTCTGGTATTAAATTCTACAAGTTGCTACAATTATACTGTAACATTTAATAGTTATTTTGGTTGTAACAAGTTCCCAGTGATTTGCCCAGGTCTATTTATTAGCCAATACCTATAGCTAGACATTCTGTTTTTGTCTTTTTGCCTTCTTTTGGATCAACCGCAAAAACATATGTGAGGAAGGCTGAACTTGATGGACGCAAGTCTCTTTTCAGCTATGTAACTATGTAATGTCTTTGTCTGTTTTGACATTTATTTTTGTGTCAATCAGTTTAATTATTGTTTTATTTCACTTATCATCTCTCCTTTAATGACTGTATACACATGTGGGTTTTCTGAGAGTTATTTTCTTTTCACACATTAATTATTTTTCACAATTAAGTTATGTTTTAATTATCTATTTTTAGGACAGTGTTTCTCTCATCTCTTGCAATTCTTAATCAGGGTAAACCCCTTCACTGCCCTATAGATTTTATATATATTAGGCTTCCACTTCTTTCATTTTTCTATACTTCTCAGTTTAAAATAAATATATATTATATATAGTGATTTTTTTATATAATTTTTAATAAAATGGTTTAAATTTTATATTGGTTTGCTTTTTAACAGCGTGTATTATTATGAATTTGAATGGTATATGTGTTCCATTGTCTGTCTACTTTAACCCTCTGCCAGTAAAGGGACACTGTTACCACTAATTTGTTATTTGACAATGGGTTATATAAACCTCTTCCATTAGGGGCGGTATATCCTTTATCTTGAATAGAGGCTCTGTATCTTGTGTGTGGGGACTACCTATGTCGGCTTTTTATTTTTAATGCAAGTTCAGCAATATAATTTTATTGTTCAACTGTTTGTAGGCAGTCTTTGCAGAGTCTGCCTTTTTACTTGTTGCTGGGAATGGTAATTATTTCCATCTGCACATTTACCTCTGTGGCGGACCACCCGGTACCCCGCCTGGGTACCTCCACCAATCACGCTTCCTAGTAGTGGCCAAATACCAGAAGTACCGCACCGGACATCATAAGCACCTTAGCTGCTGCAGCTTGGCTGGGGTCTCGCCATCCTTTCCCACCCTGGACCAACACCAGTGGGACGACCTCTCCTCCAAGAGAATATAGCAGTATATCTGTTCCCCCCCCCCACACACATGAGCCGAGGCTTAATGCTCGGAGTAGTCTGTTTATTCCAGCCAGATGCCTCACTAATATACAAAATCTGAGCACAGTGACACACCCATAAACACACCAAAAACATGCCCAAGAAATAGTGTCAATGTGACAGCATAAAATATGAAAAACACAAAAAAAATACATATTTCCCACATAGGAACCCCCACAGTCTACACATCCCCAGAGAGCCTGGATCTGAGCACCAAAGTTGTCCAAATAGCACTCAGATCCATGCGGTGTAGGGAAAATGCCATCGTGTGGAAGTTTTGACCGGCCACACAAATGGTCCTATGCCCAAAACAGTTCCATGAATTCAGGGGTAGCGGCCGGTCCCTTTCGGGAGTCCCATGGCAAAGAAATATTGAATACACACTCTGGCTTATAGGTAGCATTTGTTTGTATGGTTCATACAAATAAACCTACCGAATGGTGCTCTCCTGACTTGGATGGGGAAGAAGCAGGTTTGGAAGTAAACGCACCCGATTTTAGTTCCATGCGATTGACGCCCAAAAACCACTGCCTGCATTCTCGCGAACAAGATGGCCGCCAATACAGTTCTCACGCGTCCGTGCATACGAACGGCGGCCACCCAGCCGCACAACTAGAACCAACACTGATTGAAGTGTCAGGTCAGGTGAGGTTAACAAGGGTCAATAAGCTCAGAGGTGGTCCGCAGTTCGTGAGTTGGTTTGTCTCCCGAAAAGTCCAAGGGATTCCTACGAAGCAAGTCTTTCAGAAACCTTTCAGCATTGCCCATAGTCCTGAGGCAGGAGCCCATGGCGAGGTCACGTTCACCACAACCTCTTATCAGCTAGTACCCAAGTGAGCAAGGGGTCCACGTCTGGATTACCCTTTAGACTAATGGAGAGCAAACAATGGGTCGCAAGAGTATTCTGAGAACGGACAGCAGCTAAAATAGCCTGCCCTTCGGTGGGTCCCCGCTCAGAACTCAAGCTGGTTTTAGCTCAAGAATACTCTTGCGATCCATTGTTTGCTCTCCATTAGTCTAAAGGGTAATCCAGACGTGGACGGTGCCTAGAGAGATATCAGCTATGCCTCACTGACGATGCCTAACAAGGCTGTATCTCTCGTGCAGAGAGAACTTGCAGGCATTTCGGATCTGGACTGCCCGTATGGGTGGGACCAGTCTGATATGCTTCAGATATGTTCTCTCTGTAATGGCACAAGTTGAGCTAAAACCAGCTTGAGTTCTGAGCGGGGACCCACCGAAGGGCAGGCTATTTTAGCTGCTGTCCGTTCTCAGAATACTCTTGCGACCCATTGTTTGCTCTCCATTTAAAACTTACCATTTGATGTCTTCTTTTTTCTAAAATCTTCATTTTTCAGCCCCCCAAAAAGGGCAAATAAAAACTATAATACCCGTCGAACTTGTAAAAAATAAAAGAAAAAACCAGAGTAAAATAAATCCGACGAAAAAGAAAAAAAGAGACGCTAACAAACTAATGCATCTTCACCTGGTGAGGACACGGTGCAGACTGAGCTCCGCAGGGCGGGGAAAGGCTTATAAAGCCTTCCCACACACTGAAATATGACTCAGCACTCTGATTGATTGGTTGGCTTGGAGTCCAACCAATCAGAGTGCTAGTCATTTTACACAGCGTGGGAAAATTATGTATACAATGTCATGGCGATAAACAGTTGAACATTTTTAAATTATAAGACAGGTATGCATGATTAAATTAGTTGCGAGTAGATTAGTTATGTCGGCAATTGTGAGATTCATTAATAGAGAATAACTGGAACACAGTGTAATCTTTGCCGTTAAACATGTGCTTCTATGTGAAGGCATAATGATGCATGCTTGAAAATTGCGTGTGTAAAGAAGGCAGTTACACATGAGTGCCAGGCAGTTGAGCTCAGCTTCTATAAGTGGTTAACTGGCAGGCTATGTGATAGCATGAATGGTGTGTGCAGTACAGCAATATACAGGTATGTAAGGCGTGTTGTGAGATTGTTAGCTAGATAAGAGTGGTCAAACAGTGAACATTTCTTTACAATTCTGCATTGGTAATGAGTCTCTGTTTAGAAGGCTGCATTATGGCATAACTAGCGTCTATTGTAGCAGAGGCTTTAAGTGTGTACTTCTGTGGTTCTTGCCGTGTGGGTCCACTTTTAGCCTATACCCAGCGCAGGGAAAGATATTGGAGGTGCGTGAGAGTCCCGCTGGGGCACAGCGTCGCTGATTGCTGCAGCTGGCTCGTCCGCCCATCGTAGTAAGGGCCTGTTCTGGTGAGGTAGGTGAGTGGTGTTCCCATCTGAAATCCTGGGGCCCTCTGTAGTTTCGGATGGCTTCTGAGCCGTGTGGGGAGCATGCCAGTCGCCGTGACTACCGGCGCTGCAGGGGTTAATGGTCTCAGTTGCTCGTCCCGCCGGGTCTTTCCAGGAGTGCATACATTTTCACTGCTCCAGTTGGTCTTGCATCCGCGATCGGGAGCTTGAGAGATGGTGTGCTCCACCTTTGGAGGGGGTTTCTGCAGCTGAATTCGTGGACCGTGTCTCAGGGTCTTTCCCCTCCGGATCTTCTGCCTCGGGTGCTTGGAGCGGGATTTGGGGCGTGGGCGGGTGCCTGGTGACTTGGTCGTCCGCCACCCCTGTTGCCCGGTGCCGGGGACCCTGGGCTTGTGTCGCCGCTTGTCTGCCGATGGGACATGAGGGTCAGGAGGTGTATTCTCTCTCCCCTGCTGCCTGTGAGACTGTGCCCCTCTGTCCTGTAGCATCCACCAGAAATTGTTGAACAGCTTATCTAGCCGTTCTTCTAGTGTTTGTAGGTGCTTCCGCCGCCATCTTAAGTTCAGTGACGGAGCTGGGTGCCGGCCTCGGAATGGCTGGGTTATGCGGTGCTTCAGCTTGCCAGGGGTTAGTTGCTGGAGCCAGGATATCCCTCACCAGCGGGGGGGGGGGGCGAGAGGAAGGCTCGTGGGTGGTCCTCCGCAGCGATAGAGTCTGCTTTCCTGGCTGGGTGATCGGCCGCCTCACCCGCGCCCTCGCCTCCACTTAGGTCGCAAAACAGGCTGGTTGTCGCTACAGTAGGCACTGGTGACGCAGCCCGCGTTCCCAGTAGCTCAACGTTTTGTGAGTAGGGTCGGTGCAATCTCCCTTGCATCCCCAACATGGGTGGTGCAATTTTGAGGGATTTGGTTGCTTAAGAGTCGGGTTCATTTTGATTGAATTAAGGATTTAGACGGCTGCACGCGTCTGAACAGTTCCACAGCCAGGCTCGTCCCCCGTCCACCCCCCCCCAACCTACCAAGATGGATTCTTTTTTTTGCGCTTGGGTTTTTTATTTTTTACAAGTTCATAGAAACATAGAATGTGACGGCAGATAAGAACCATTCGGCCCATCTAGTCTGCCCAATTTTCTAAATACTTTCATTAGTCCCTGGCCTTATCTTATAGTTAGGATAGCCTTATGCCTATCCCACGCATGCTTAAACTCCTTTACTGTGTTAACCTCTACCATTTCAGTTCGACGGGTATTTTGTATTATGTTTTTTATTTGGCCTTTTTGGGGGCTGAAAAATGAAGATTTTAGAAAAAGGAAGACCTCAAATGGTAAGTTTTTTTTACTGGTACTTAAATCCATTCTCACTAGATTTAGGGTGAGGGGGGTAGGTAGGGGTTTATTCATTTTTTATTTGGGTGGGGGGTGACTAGGGGCTTGGGAACCCTTAGTCACTTTGTGGGGGGACACTTTCATTTAGGGACCCCACCCGCCGCTCAGGGGTGGGGGCCGGGGAGGAGGACAATAGGTCCCCCTTCCTCATTGTTTTTATTGTCCCCACTTGATTCTCAGGGGTGGGGGCCGGTAGAAGGACAATAGGTTCCCCCCCCATTGTTGTTATGGCCCCCACTCGCCGCTCAGGGGTGGTTGCTGGAGGGGAGGATAATAGGCCCCCCTCCCACATTCTCATTTAGGGCCCCCACGTGCTGCTCAGGGGTGGAGGATGGAGGGGAGGACAATAGGTGTCCACCCCACATTCTCATTTAGAACCTCCACCCTCCACTCAGGGGTGAGGGCCAGGGGGGAGAACAATAGGT